CAGAAACGGTCTCTTGCACGAGTGTTTAATGTCTCGCGCAAATTACCTCTTTTAAGAGTGGTAAATGGGTCTTGCTTAAACGGCCTCTATCAAGAGTGGTTAATAGATCTCGCACAAATAACCTCTTTCAAGAGTGGTTAATGGGTCTCTTGCAAATGGCCTCTTTCAGGAGCAGTTAGTGAGTCTGTCGCCAACGGTCTCTTTCAAGAGTAGTCTCGCGCGAACAACCTCTTGCAGGATTGGTTAGCATGCGTTAGAGGCCTCGTGCAATCTTTGCATCTTTAGCTGTTCATCGTTGCATTCTCTGTGTCTTGAAAGAGGTTCATAGACCTGCTTTTACCGTGGATGTGCACACGGCCTAAAGCAAGAAAGCAGCATTGTACTGCGTAGTACTGTGAATATGAGTCGCATTAAGTGGTAGCATTATAATTTAAATAATTTTCTGTCAAATACGGTTTTAGTCATTTCAATATTTACCCTTGTTTCCACTTCTTGACGCGAATTATTCAAGATACAAGGGAAAGGTGGCCCAGTGGTTACAGTTCAGAATACCGTGACTGGAGCAGTAAGGTGCGGGTTTGATCCCAGCTACCATGCTACAGCTGGTCAAATCAGCAAGGAGGTGCGTGTTCGAAACCGCAACAAGCTGTGAAAATTCTCCAATGTTAAGAAAGAGATGACCGGAGGTTTTCTGGCCTATGGGTTTACTGCTTCAAAGAAACCCTAATTTGTCATGCGTTTCAGGACTTGCACCGACAGTCAGAGACCGTAAATACAGAAACTGAGTGCTGACCATATCACCAGCAAAAATTGCCTTGGCATTCGAAATTTTTTGTGGAGACATTGCGGGCAAGTCCAATGAGGACAACCTTAGGCTTCGAGGCTATGATTTAACTTTCAGACTCTGCCACCAATTCACGTTTGTCTGAAAGAGATGATCATATATCTATTCCTGATTGTTGCAATCCACGCTCTCATCTGGCTTCAAAACTCCGGTACGCACTAAAGTAACATTGCTGGAAAGCAGTGCAGCATCTCCAAACTTGAGAGTAACTGTGGAAGTAGATGGTTCATCCACAAGTTGAATTTGACTTTAAGGGTTTTCTGGCCTAATAGGTAAGTTTATGTCTAAGCTAGGCAAATAATGATTCCTGTAAGTTGCAACGTGTCAATTGTGTTCGGGTTAAATGGACGAATTCCAAATTTTCTGAATCCAGATTTGATGTTTGAAGCCGTTGTGACGGTTGTTGTAATGTTATAAACAGTTTTTGATACACAGAACTCTTTTCTTTCCAATCCACATGCTTCCTCAAAAAGCTTGCCAAAATTTTAAAAGCTCTGAGGGAGAAACTTTCAGAGATTTATAGACGGCAACCTCGAGTGGCTGACAGAGATGGATGTGAGAGGCATTGATGCTATAGAAATGTCATGTTGCTCTGCCTGACATAGGCAATATCTGAAGGAGCAATGCAAGGCGGGGCTATCGCAGTAGCAGAATTATTGTTCCATCTGTTGATGGCTGAGAAAATGCCAAGAATCTTAGCGTGAGCCACCGTGGGATAAGTTCACAATCTATGTAGACAGTGGCTTGTTTGCCGTCCAAAGTTCGAGGTACGGTGAAACGCAGCAATCGATGCTTCTGTGTTATTGTTATGCCACTTGTCAAGAATGGGAATTCTTCACTCGCTGAGGCAAGACAACATTCTGCGAGAACTTGTTGAGGACCACCACCATGTCATGGGGACGATCACTAACGTTATTACACTCGTGAGCATCTCGCAGAAATTGTAAAGAATCAATCCAATTTTCATTTGTTTAAAAAAATTGCTCGGCCACGATCTAAGCATTCAGCTTTCCGATGTTTGACTGACTCAGGGTGTCTGGAACTAAACTTCAAACCCCCATAAGTAGCGTTGGTAGCAAGGCCTCTCTCACCAAAAATGTCTCTTGAAGCTGGACCTGCGATCAATGCACCAGGCAAACATTGAAATTTGTGCCACGGTAAAAGGAAAACCTCTATTTGCCACAAATTCAATGTAATTACAGCAATCCCTTGATTAGCACAGTTTTGAATACCGTGGTTTTGATTAACGCGGAAATAAAAATTTGCGATCTACCCTTAATCTACGCGGTGCCAGTTTTGATTAGCGCAACTTTTTTTTCACAACGCATCATTTTCCCGCCTCTAGCCAGAGGGGTTACGTTCGTAACAAAAGTGTTACTTTTTGCTTATTAGATCCTATGTTGTTACTTTTGTTACGACTTTTGGAAAAATTTGCCAAATGTTGTTACTTTATGAATTTCAGCCAATAATTCTATAAATAAGGTCCCGTTCCGTAGGCACTCGTGCTGACTACAGAGTCGGTTTAACCGCGCCTTGTCTCGTTCATAACTTGAATGATCGAGTTCGGCAACGTTCGCCGGTAAGTGCGCCATGCCGGTGCTCTAGCCCTTTAAGACGGTGCTCTAGCCCTGTGTGACGAATTTGTCACACAGAAAATAAAAGCTTCTACCAAGAGTAATTACATGTTTGGAGTCTAGCCGCAAGTGTGACGGTAGCGTCACATGTTGTGAACTCGTTCGAACGACGTTTGATGGAGTAGGTGCGCCGCTACTGCCAGTACAACACGAAGACTGCGCGTGATCTGAAATGTAATTCAGATTGTTTTTTCACTTTCGAAACATAATTCAGTGCGTAAAGGGCTAGTTACTCGTTGGCCTTCAACTGTTCAAGATTGCTGCCATATCTACTGCTCACTTTCATCAAACTACATAATTTTCCTTTCCTTTGCCATTTTTGAGGATTCATTATAATTATTCCCATATATTCTTTAGTTTGATTAGTGCGGTTTTGCTTAACACGGTAAAACTCGGGGATTTATTAACCGCATTAATCAAGGGATTGCTGTACAGAGTGACAGCTCATGCTCTGCTGACGACGTGGTTGGTTTGCCTGGTACAGTCTTCCTTGACTCTTATCGAGAGGCGACCTGAGTGTCTTGCGTGGCACATTGAACGTACGGGCAGAGTCTAATGCGGGAAGATTCTAATCTCAGCAGGCTGCAAGAGCCCCTATCCATGTCCTTCTGCCTCCACAATCTTAGCTTTGTTCCTTTTCTTTAAGTCTTCTTGAATGGTACAAAATAATTGTATTAACATACTTGAACAAATTCATGTACCGTTTTATCACACAAAATAACGTATGTAAATATTTATCATCCGACATGGGTTTTATCCTTTGAAGTCTATTTAAGTGCTTGAAATTGTTTTTATTTGTTTTAATCTCTTCATTTTACGAAACGATATTCAAAGAGGTAGTTTACCTTATTATGTAAGAAAGTCGACTCGTGTCACGCTTATTCCAACAAGCTCAGACACTTCAATGCAGCGCTATTCACTTCTTTTGCCGTTTCGCGTAACTCCGATCAATGCAAGAGTGTCGTGCGCAACTTTTGAAGTCCTTTCACAACATTTTAAAAAAGTAATTGCTAATTATGTGCGAAAGAACATAAATGGGGAACAATTCTTGAATTTTTTAAGGCAACACTCTCAACTCTGACACTATCATTGCATTATTAGTATAAATTGGCAACAAAAATTATCCTTCATATCCAGCCTCATGAAGCAAATGACCTACACAAACCTTGCCATTTATCCCAAATTTATATGCTCTAAAGTTGCCAGGTATATATAGAATAAATTAATGACTATATTAAATTGTCTCTAGAATTTGGAGCAGGGTGGAATTCTAGAAATGGAGGTTCACTTATAAAAAAGCTTTCCACCCAAGGTGAAATGCTTTCCTTAGATACAGTGCTCTGCCAGGTGACTGACTATAAATGAAAAGGAGGATCAAAAGTGGACAAACTGTTTCAATTGTATAGTACCTCAGATTTGTTATAAAATTGTTTGAATGTCTCTTGTTTGATAGATATTCTCTATTTTTCTTTTATTTAATGGATTTTTTGAAAAATTTCCAGGCTTTTTGTTTGATCAAGTTTAAGTTAAGTATTTAGTTAACCAGTACTGTAGTACATATACCATATTTGGGGGCAGGGCTTATGGGCACAACCAAATGAACCAATCACAGCTGGAAAGCATCCCCATCAACCAATCACAGCTTGAAAGCATCCCCAGCAACCAATCACAGCTGGAAAGCATCCCCATCAACCAATCACAGCTTGAAAGCATCCCCAGCAACCAATCACAGCTAGAAAGCAGATAACATTACAACTCCATTAACCAATTACAGCTGGAAAGCTGGAAGGGGGCTAAAAGTAAAATCACAATCCCATAAACCAATTACAGATGAAAAATGATAGGATATGTATAATGTATATAATAAAATGGACTGGAAGTGGAAAGTTCCTGGACTTTCCAACCTTTCAGGTCCTGCTTTCCAATATGCTATGTGGACTGGTTAATTTAATATCCCTCTAGAATTCCACACTGATTATTTATTTTGGAGTACAAGCAATATGAACCTCTTTTTATTGCGGCTTGCGCTTCAGCTCGGAATGACCCCGAGCTTGTACAGAAAACATTTTCTTGGCAACAGAGCATCACCCAAATGCACTGAAGACAGGAGAAGGAAAAAATTTGTGTCGCTTGCACGATTTTTGTCATGTTGCTTTGGAACAAATTAGGTGTAGGAAATGCATTATACTATCTTTAAGCAATGTTAATAAATGTTCTAGTATTTTTCTATGGTAATGAAATGTTTGTATTGGGTCCATTTTACTAAATACTTCCTTTTCCCTGTACTCTGTAGCATCATCTAGCATGGCGACTTTAGTGGCACTGGCATTGACGGTACTTAGGGGATTTGCCATAGGTTTGAGCCTTAGGAAGCTTTGATAATTTTTTGATGTCACTGAGGGGTCATTATTCAGTTTGATGCAATTGCAATGCTCAACATGCTCTGGCTGTCAGCCTGTCAGGCTCCGCTGATAAATTGATAATCACTAATCAGCATTCAGCAATTCAGCTTCAGCACATACCTTGTAATGACGATTCTGTTCCTATAGCAGCCGCTTCGACCCTCAAATAGAAACTAAATGGTAAAAAATATGATAACAAAGAGATGAAGCGTATCGCACTACACATGATTGACGATAGAACTTAAAAGTTCAATGTTATGGGTAAAATAATATTTCAATAAATAAAATTCGACCAGACTCCGTCCTCCGCAGTTGGCGAATCGCCGAGTTGCGAACTGGGAATTCCAAGGTCACTCCCTAAGTTGTGGAAGCTGATGAATGTTTTTTTATGTAGTTTTTATATTATAAGCTGGATGACAAGGAATAAATTGAATAAAAACAATCAAAAAATTGCTAAAACAATAAATATTGCTGATCATATTCACCACAATCTTTATTCGTGATCTTTCCTGACCGACACTTATCTGCAAAGAAATACTTTCTCAGAAATAACATAATATAGTAATATCGGTCTTGAAGAATACCTAGTACGGTATGGCTTGTCGCCAACCTTTATAATACTTTTCACTTGTTTTTTTTTCAGAGATCTGAGGACTGTTTTTTTTACTAAATCGATTTAAAACCGACGTTCAACATTCACAGCTTTTGAACATTCACTAATTTGTGGGATGAGAGACATTTTTAGTAATAGCATTGGTCCACCAATCGGTTGCATGTGTGATCGCGTTTTTTAAACGAGCATAGCTACTCGGTGCTAAGCGTAGATTCAATCATTCAATCTTCTTCTCTGTCCTGACTCCATCAAGGTCGGCATTATCCAATAATTTCTTTCTGAGTCGAGTGAGTGGGTTGGCCCAGCGGTTACATTTCATTATACAATACACAATGGTTTTCAAGATTTATGAGAATACTGTAAATTGAGACGAATAATAAATATAATTTTGAAGTCATCATTAATTATGCCATATTTACCTGTGGCCGATTCCTAGCAACCGGATAACCTTGCCTATTTCAACCAAAATTTTCACAGCAAGCTGTGGGTTCGAATTCCCAGTTCGCTGCTCCAACCGTGGTGGTGAATGATTAGGTAAATTAACTGATGGTACAGCAGCGTTTTAAAAAATCATATTCGAATCGCCTGGAAAGAAGGATTTGACAAATAATATCCGTTGCTTCATACGAAGAAAATATCCCGGTGCCGGTTATTACGGTGCCCGTTAATTTCGGTTGCATTTTCGTTCGAATTTATTCTTCTATATGTGATTATTTAGGAACATCAACAGGCATCATAGGACTATATGTGATGCCTTATCTTATTATCCCACTTATCTTTATTTTCTTAGTACACGGAATATGAATTTTAAATATGTGAGCATCATTTCCAGCGAACTTAGGTAACTGCAACTTATTTCGATCAGACGATATAGGCAGAAAGAGCAAAGTTCGTGCAGGGTTTTCATCATAGAAATGCCTCGAAAAATTTTCGGGCTCGAATAAAGCGTTATCAATAAATATCACGCAAATGTTGCAAACAATCCAAGGAAAAAAACTGTAGGAAATTGGTAGTTGCTTTCGAAGCTCAGTCTTTTCCCCTCAGCCAATCCCAGGCCGCTGTGTCCTGGAAGTCGGTGGTTGGTGAGATGTTCGCATAGGCGGAGTTTCTGAGGGAAGGTCTACGAGGGCATAGAAGATGCAAACAACATCGAGCGTTAAATGAGGGTAACATAGATGTTCTCAGCAGGAAATCTGTGTCCGCTGTTGAACTATGAGAAGGCAAAGCGCTACATTAAAGCCTACGAGGTACTGTATTTGGTGAAGGTAACAGAAACATTCACTGCCGACAGTTCTGGACAACAGGAGGTAGCAAATGTCAACGTCTAACTTGTGCCCAAGTAAATTTGTGTGGTCACCAATTACTGTGTGTAGAGAGTAGAGATGAAAATTGAGTATTCAAGAAAGTTATTGAAGACGTTAAATACAGGAAATATGAATACATGAAATGAGACTAGTTCACAATATTCACCAATACGCTTTGATCCTATTTTGACGTACATATAGCATGCATGAATTGAATTTAGATATTGACTTTTACTATGAAGTCTCGCGATGAAATGTAAATATTTTAATCCTTAATCTTGCTTGCAAATTTCATTTGTAAAACGACGAATGGTGTCATGGGGATTGTTGCTACAAGTGTTCTTCTTTTAATTCTTGAATACGAGAACCGAAAAATTGATGCAGCTGTGATAAATCTTCAAAATAATTTATGCCGACAACGAAAGTTGAAGCTATCACTTAAATTTTTATCGGCTATAGAAAATAGGGGAACTATATGATTGTAACAAGAACTACTAGTTTATGAAAAATACTTATCTGAAGTTTATTGAAAAATTTAATTGACACTGTGAGAAGAAATTTAAATGGCGCGAGTTAATGGCAGGTAAGTATATAGGTAATTAAGGACAAATGTGAAGAGAGAATACGAAGAAATGTATAGTGTGACGAGTTGGATTTTGAGAATGAATAAAATGAAAAAAGGAAGTATAGATGGCCCAAAATGGAAAGGAATAATTCAAGGGAACAATTTCGAAAAACAGGATTTACAGTAAAGATTTAAACAAATTTAATTTTGTGATTAAAACTAATAAAATCAGCAGAGTCATGTGCAAGAAAGGAAGAGGAAAAATGGGATAAAGAAGCTGAGGGAAGGCAGGGAGGGAAGGTGAGGGTAATCCAATCAGGTGGCTCCCCTCGGCTGCTAACGAAGCGACGGCGCTGGTTCTGGGAACTCCTTCCTGCCCTCTCTCCCTCACTTTATTCCTGTCCTCTCTCCCTCACTTTATTCCTGTCCTCTCTCCCTCACTTTATTCCTGTCCTCTCTCCCTCACTTTATTCCTGTCCTCTCTCCCTCTATTTATTCCTGTCCTCTCTCCCTCTCTTTATTCCTGTCCTCTCTCCCTCTCTTTATTCCTGTCCTCTCTCCCTCACTTTATTCCTGTCCTCTCTCCCTCAATTTATTCCTACCATTTTCCCTCACTTTATTACTGCATTGATTCCTACACTATTTATACGTGTACTCTTTCCCTCACTTATATCAATATCTTCTTGAAACTTAGCCTGCGTGCATGCATGTTCGTTGGTATGAGGCCAGCATTCCTGTCCCTTTTCCCTCACTTTACTTCCGCCCTTTTTCCCTCACATTATTTATGCCCTTTTTCCCTCACTTCACTCGGGCAATATTTTCTCTTATTTATTCATTATCACTTCCCGATTGCTTTATTCATGTACAGTTTTTTTCATACTCTGTTTAAACCTATTTGTTTGCTGCCTCTGATTTTCAATAATATTTGCTCACTGTTCGTCTGCTTTATCTTAGTTCATTCCTTTTTCATTGCCCTCCTACGTTTTCTTGTTACTGTAATTCTTTCATCATATTTGTGTCCATGTATCCTTCCATTTGCTCACTCACTCATATATTTTTATCTTTATAATTTTTCTTTTTTCTTTTGATCTTTGCCATAAACTTGACTTTATTTTCTATTCGTGCTACATTTTCTTTAACTTTATTTACACATTCCATTCTTTAGCTCTAATTATTCCTTCTCTCTTAATTACTGACATATTTTTCCCCATTATTATTGCCCACTTAATTTTATTTCAGTCTCAAACACTTTGCGCTCACTGTCGCATGTCTTCCTCTTCCCACGTACCGCTCATAGCCTTATTCTCTCCACTATATATTTACGAACTTTTGCATTTTCTCAAGTTTTTCATTTATTGCCTGCGTCTTAAAAGTGAAGGTCTTATACTGCTCCCGTTCCAGAACAAGCTTATTTCAACGTACACTCCCATTATTTTCTTCAAATATTGCTTGCTTTCTGCCATTTTCTTCGTAGTATGTATGACCCTTAAAACAAATTAGCCTACATTTTCCCACAAATTATACACCCATGAAAAATTTCAATTGCAGAAAATGTAAGAATCATCATTGATTAACCAATCGTCGTTTTGGCCAACGAGAAATTGTAGCTCGATGCATGATACATTCCTCAGCCTGTTTTTTACCAGTCACAGAAACAAATTTCGATGACAAAATTTTCCATCATAAATATGTCCCCAACGTTATTTTAAATTACAGTTATTGTTATTTGTATTTATGTTCGCCAAAAATTTACTAGCCAACACTATAGCTAATTTTTCAACGAATCTCAACTTTTTCCACATCTAACATTATATGATTCTGGCGGCTACTGTTAAATTCAAGCAATAACTTCACTCAGTGCGCAAAATTTCAGCACATTAATAAGATAAAATGATAGTAATATTACAATATCAGAGGCATAATAACGAAGTACTCACGGTAGGCGGTGGTACCTGATGGTACGGGGGACTTGGCCCCAAGCGATACTCGATCACTAAAATGGTTGTGGAGAAGAAGTCATTATGCGGCCTGTCACGTTCCTTATAATTTAATCGTCTCGATTTGTTTTCGCAATGCGTTAGATTAAACTAATTTGTTTTTCGAGACAAGAATAACACCGATCTCACGTTCAAATAAAGTTTCTTCGTTCTAAGTTTTCAATAACCAAAATTTATCATGCACTCAGGTTCAGTTGAGTGATAGATTTCCCAAACTTATGAAGGAAAGAATTTCTGATAAAGTTTTTAGGACATTTGCTTCAGTACAGTTCTCATATCATAGTTCAGTCCTTAATTATAGCACAGGATTTAGTACAACTTCAAGAGCAGATTCTACCTCCAACTCCACCTTCCTCCATCGTCAGCCTACCTATAGAATCGAATATATAAGTCGAGTTCAACAAACATCAGAGTCTGAACCAAGTAACTGTGCTCTGTGGCATCATAGCTATATGGGTTGACAGCATGATATTAATACATACTTTGGTGCCTCCTGCTTTTATGTAATTCATCAACCAGCATTGCTAAACTTTATCTAGTTATGAACAAAGTCTGGTTTATAGGTGGAAGATGAGTGCATTCAATAACCTGTAGTCAACCGGAACAACAAACCCACTGGATAAGTTTATGCGAGCTTGCGTTAGTTCTTAGCCAGAGAGCTGCGAGAGGGAGAACAAACTACTTCCCTTGCTCGAGGGAGTGTGTTGGGAGCGAGCTACTGCCCTCGCTCGAGGGAGTGTGTTGGGAGCGAGCTACTGCCCTCGCTCGAGGCGTGTGTTGGAGCGAGCTACTGCCCTCGCTCCAGGGAGTGTGTTGGGAGCGAGCTACTGCCCTCGCTCGAGGGAGTG